TGGAGGAGGTCTGAGGAGAACTCAAAGTTCTTTTTCTTCTTCCCAAATATGCAAATATGTCACATTTTAAGATGCATAGATCAATAATTTCATATTTGCAGTGGCTCAAATGACTAAATGTCAAGTGAGAGGGCTCAGTGAAGACATAAGCCAAAGAACTTGATGAAGATTTTTAGCATCTTTCAGCTTTGTTTTGGTTTAACAGCTTGTAATTTTGCTGTTTCTGAATCCCTGCCTCTCCTGCCGTGTCGATCAGGTAGACTTTGCTTAAAGCCGCACACAGTGACCGAGTTCCTAAAGGTTCTGGTTGTTGTAGGGCCGTCCTGGTTGACGCGCCTCTACAACACGGAGATCTGGGCCGGTGCCTCTGGATTGGCAGACTGGAGTAGTGTTCCCATCCCACTACAGGAGGGGGTTACATTCCTCAGGCTCCTCTCTACGCCAGGGTACTGGAGAGGAGAGAGAGCTGAGCGTAAAAGCTAAGCTGTCAAATTATCGGTCGATCTATGTCCCTGCCCTCACCCATGGTCACGAGCTCTGGGTAGACACCGAAAAAACAAGAGCATGAGCAGTGGAAATAGAGCTGCTATTCCTCCACCTCAAAAGGAGCCAGTTGAGGTGTTTCGGGCATCTGAAAATGACGCGTTTTGGGCATGTCCCACTGGGAGGAGGCCCCGAGGCACACCCAGGACATGCTAAAGAGATTACATCTCTCAGCTGGCCTGGGAACGCCTCGGTGTTCCCTTGGATAAGCTGGAGAAGGTGGCTGAGAAAAGGGAGGTCTGGGAATTCTTGCTCAGGTGACCAGGTCAGGATAAGAGAAAATAAGAGAAAGTGGATGGATGGATAAAGGACTGAGATGGAGTAACAAATGTTTATTTGCATCATTTAATGGGGTTTATTATATGCAATAAGAGTCGTCTTTTTTAAATAATTAATATGTGAGTATTAAGTATTTATGGGAAATATGTTTAAAGAAAGGAAATGACATCAAGGAATAAAACATCATTGATTCAGATCATCAGAAAATATTTACAAAGAAGGTTTAACATTTGATTCGCCCACAGATCCTGTTTACAGCATTTAAGAATTTATGAAAGCTTCATGTGTTTTTAAAGAAGTTTCTCCTGACAGAGAAGAAGAGGTTTTTAATCTCAATGGGTTCTTCCTGGTTAAATAAAGGTTAATAAATAAAAAAGAAGTTGGATTTTCAGCAACATGTTTCCCACACCGGGCTTCAGCAGATCAGCTCCCAGAGTCTCCTGGCTCTGTGTGAAATGTCAGGTAAATATCAGGAACATCAGTTTCCACTGACCGTAATACTCCCTCAGAGAGCTGCGTCTCATAAGACCGGTGATGAAGCGCATGCAGCAAACAGAGCGGGCAACAGCTGGCGGGCAGATATTACAGCGATCTGTTTTCCAGCCCTGAGAGAGGAGAGACTGCTGAGCCGAGATATCACCCACCGGGCAGCCTCGGAGCTGCAGGGTGCCGTGATAAATTATTTGGGTGAAAGTAGTCTGAGCAAACAAATAACCATCGGAGGGATTGCAGTGCGGAAAATAAACAGCTTCATCTCAGGAGATTTCCCACAAATGAACTTTTACTGACATCTTATGGTGAATTGTCGTCACTGCAACCACCTCTAAAATCATCTTTAAATCGTCAGCTGCTGAAATCTTTTCAAGTTAAAGATCACATTTGAAACCATTGCCTAAATCAAGTTTCCAAGTATTAAACTTTAAAGAAGAATCTCTGAAAAAACAATTATTTGAGCTGTAGGAAAGAAAAACAAGAAAAGATAAGTGCAAGTCCCACACAGATGCACTTACTTTCACAGTTTATGATTCTCGTTCACAGATTTATTTAATTTTCATTCAATGTTTGGCACCAACACTGTTCAACTGCAACTATAGTGGCTATTGCTCACATTCAAACTGAAAAACCACCATTTAAAAGGACACTGATGCATGATGAGCAAATAATGTATGCAGGAAAAAGAACTCAAATAAAATCAGTGGAATTTATGGTTTATTTCATCCTTTGCACTGCTAAATAAATGGATTCTTTAGTGCATGCTGGTCCTGTACCTCTCTACCTTCTCAAAAACAACTAAAACTGTTTTCTTTTGCTGTAAACCTGCAAGTATGGCTCGTCTGTGAAGCACTTTGTTGTACCTGTGACTTTTAAATGTGCTATAGAAATAAAATTGAAATTGAAATTGAAATTAAACAACCAAAAGAAAAATAAGACTAAATAACAAGCTAAATAAAAATAACCTAATCAAAACACATAAACATGTATAAATACTTAAACCTTCAACATATTCTAATCATTCAGCTACAAACTCCTACAGCAGCAGCTGCCTTGTTTTTTAAAGCTCTGAGGTGGTTTGAAAACAGCTGCAGACTCGTGCAACACTGAAGGTTAAAAACCAAAGTAAAACATGTCAGTTTATGCACACATTACTTTTACGCGACTGTTTCATGCTTTGTCAGGAGACAGAGATCCACCGAGATAACCACTTCTAGCATGAGCTGATAACTCGACAGCTCTAAGCTTTTATTCAAATACCAAGATGACGATGACAAAGGCTTCAAAAAGGTAGTCTTATAGACCAGGGGTGGGGAACTGTCCTGGGCCGGTGTCCTGCTGGTTTTAGATCTCACCCTGGGTCAACACACCTGAATCAAATGATTAGTTCAACCTCAGGACATGTTGACGAGGTCATTTAGCCATTTCAACTAGCTGTGTTGGATCAAGGACACATCTAAAACCTGCAGGACACCGGCCCTCGAGCCCAAGAGTTCCTCCACCCATGTTATAGACTGTACATAAAAGATGGACACAGCCACTATGACATCAAGCACGGGTTTGGAGAAGTTCTATTTTGAACCTCCAGGTGAGTATCACGGTGTTTTCAGACCACGATGATGACAAGAGACAGATCTGAGTGCAATTACCGACGTAACTGCGCTCTCAGACAGGCCGCGGCTGAACGGGACAAACTGGCAGGTGTTCCAAATTAAGGCTGTCCAAATCTCAAGGAGGAAGATGTCGGACCATTCACAGAGTCGCAGCCCAAAGTAGGTCTGATTGGATGGTCACGGCATTATCACTCATAATCCAAATGGGATTGGTTCTCTCAATTTACAGCACACTATATATACGGTCACACTGCAGGTCTTAATGCTCAACTCCGATTTTTTGATCAAATCGATGTTTTTGTCTGCTCGTTCACACTACAGATAAAATGTGACAGCAAACGCGCTCTAGTGTGAACCCTCAAAGCGGCCGCATGCGCAAAAGAAGACGTCACACACAACGCGCTCTGTTTAGACCCAGACCAACAGTATGTTTGACTGATGCCCTTAATATAAAGACTTCGGACTTTACGTTTCCCAATTTTTGCTTTAAGTTATTTTGTTATTTACATAATAATGTAAATAACCTAATAATGATCCTTATTGCTGTTTTAGAGGAGCGGTGCTTCAAAGGATAGCTGCAGATTTCTGTCTGAATCTGCAGATTATACAGTACAAATAAAATGTTCACGTTGTCTTCCCAACAGTTTCACTGGATGGCCAGGAAGCGTTCACGATGTCTTCTCCGGCGCTGATAATTAGCGTCTGTCTTGTGTCGGTGACGTAAAAGACGGATTTAATGCGACTTGACCATCAAACAGCAGTCGCTTTCTGAAACATCAGATATGTATCGAATTCAGTACCACATACAAAAGTGAACCAGATCGGATGTGAAAATATCGGATTTGCGATGTTCACACTGTCACACCATGATCGGATAGATGGGTCGCAGAGGGTCAAAAAAATCGGATTTGATGCGCTTTCACCTGCAGTGTGAACGTAGCCTAAGAGGAGAAGTGTTTTTGAAACCTCACATATCTAATATAAACTCTGTGTGAGCTATGATACAGAGCCAAGCCTGTTGATGTTCATAATGGTCTCTTTGAGAAATAATTTTAACTGAACAAACACACACATCCACACATGTGCAATAACACTAAGTGCAATAATCTTTTCTGGCATCGTTGTATTTTTACTCAGTTGTATATAGCATTCGTATTCTATTTTTATCTTTTTGTATATTTTTATTCTATTTTATTCTACTGTATATAGTATATTATTTTATTCTATTCTGTACAGTTGTGTACTGTATTTATTCTTATCGTATTCTAATTTTTGCGTCATAACTTTTGCACTGTCCACTTCCTGCTGTGACAAAACAAATTTCCCACGTGTGGGACTAATAAAGGTTATCTTATCTTATCTTATCTTATCTTATCTTAATGAATCATACTTGTAAGCACCTTTCAAGCAGGTTGGTGAACTTCAAAGTACTTCACAGATGACTGACAATCCAATAATAGGACATAAGAAGAAGTAATAAAGCAATAAAGCCCTTACCGAACTTCTGTCAAAGGTTATGGTAAGATTGGGTCACATTAGGATCTCCACAGCATCCAATATTAAAGTTTCAACAATGCCATAAAAGAAATGATCATTAGGAGAGGTACTAGTGACGTTCTTATTATAGCCAGCGCTGAAGGGCATTATTGATACTCGGATACTTGGATTTTGAGTGGAGGATCACTTTAGAGTCACTTAAGAGTGACTTACTCTCACAATCTGGGTTTGAGAGGTTAAAGAGTGTTTGTAGGCGATGGGCTTCTGTGCGCTTTGAAAACTTTAACCAAATTAGCTCAAGTCAACAGTCAGCAGGACTCTTCTTATCCTATTATGGTCCGCCCTTCTCCACTGGACATTTGGAATTTGAATATCCACACAGGCTTCACATCACATTATGTAATGCTGTTTGAAGCAAACTGCTGTGTACGCTGTGTCTGACACCAGTATCAGTCTAACACTCCAAACACAATCAGATTATTCTTATTTACATAAAAAATCAGATTAAAACTACAAAACACGCCTCATCTGTTCTCTGTGTGAAGCTAATTAGCAGATATAGTTTCTTATGACCCAGCAGCTCATCAGCAGAATAAATGGGTTTTATTTTTGTCCGTGACATTTAGGAATATTTTTAGAAAGCAGAGGTTGTTACCTTTCCAATAAAGAGTGCGTTTTAAATTTTAAATAAAACCTGGTAAGACTTAGATCATACAAGCTTATAAAACTTGTAAAAGTGTGTGGTATGGCATGTCTCTTCAATGAAAGTGATGCTGTTGGGTGGAAATATCTATATTCTTCAAAATTCTTCAAACAGCAGTGGATGTTAATCGAACACTCACCCCCTAAACTTAGATGGGCTGCTGGTGACTACTCAAAAATATTGTGGCCTATAAAGCATCGTCTTTGCATATAAATGTAATGTGGTTCATTTTTTTAGTTAAACAAAAAAGAAACATTTTAATGGCCAGATATACTTGAAAATGTTATCAGCCCAGTGAATTAAAGAGGTCCCAGAATGGATCCCTGAGGAACACCTGCAATAGAACAGAAGACATGACCTGAACCATTTAATTAGGATAGCAGCTTTTATTGCATAATGTAATGTTATTAAATATTATATAACTATATTTACAGAAGTGCATTCTTTAGAAAAAGAAACAGCAAACTGGTCTCCCTCATTTAAGTTTTAACCACTTTAGTCCCATTTTTTGTGACTTCCGGTTGTTCAACAGGATCGTCAGCAGATCAGTATTTAAAATATTATTTAGTCGCCACCAGAGCTGTTTGGCTCCCCTTTATAATACTTTTTTTACACTGCTTTACATGTCTGTTTTTCCCACAGTGTGCCCATACTGAAGCAGTCATATGGATAAACTGGTTTTGATATATTAAGGCAGTGTGTGTGAGAGACGTTTTGTTGTCTGAACACTTTAAACTAATCCTGCAGTTTATCTCAAACACACCTGCTCCTCTCTACACTCCCAGTTTCCTCCTACTGAAGCTGCCTGACCAGCTCCCTGTCCTCCTCAGAGTTCTCCTCAGGCTTTTCTTTTCCTTTGTTTTCTCTGCCGACCTTCCCTTTGGGCTTGAAGGCCACAGAGAGCAGCTCCTTCTGGATCCTCCGCTCCCTCTGCCTCCTCAGCAGAGCCAGGATCTCCTTCCTCTGGTCCCCCATGGCCGCGTACCGCTGCCTCTCCTCCTGCCTCTGCCGGGGATCGGGGACTCTTTGCGGCTCCGGAGCGGGACCGGCGGCGGTGCTGCCGCTGCGCTGCGGCCGAGACACCGGCAGCCTCTGGCGGATATCCGCCGACACCAGCCGCGACTCCAGCGGCGGCAGCAGGGACAGGGAGCTCCACAGCTGCCTGGCGTGGGACACATCCTCCGGGGAGGATCCTTCAAACACGATGAAGAGCAGATCAGTCTCCTCCTGCTCCGGAGGATCCGCCTGAACGGACATCTGAGCCTTCGGGCCAGAAACAGAGAAACTTTTAATTTAAACAGATAACGGCGCTCTTGTTTACTGTTGTCACCATGGAAATAGACTACGGCAAGCCAGCAGGAGTCAAGATTTTCTTGACGCGCGTAAGCCTTCAAAATAAATGCAAAAGCAGGATTAATGTCATCATTTCAGTCGCTTTTGTCTGTCAGTGCCAATTTTTAGAAGAGGAAAAAACACAGTGACAGCCCATCACTTAATTTCATGGATTTAAGCTGTGATCGAGTAAAATTCACAAAACTGTTTCAGTTTATGCAGACTAGAGTTGACTGTGCACATAAACCTTCCTGATCACATACAGTAGCCTAATTATTATTATGTTTTGGCGCTCTCTTTTGAGCCATTCTTAATGTTTCTGACCATCTGATAAACAAAAATGTCAATTAAGCTTAATTAAATGAAACCCCAGTTAATAAAACTGGTTAAAAATAGGGCTTGCCAAAGGATGGATATCCAGGAAAAATCCAGGAATTTGTCTTTTTCATAAAGTGGATTTCCTTAAACTATGATCATAATGAAAATAAATGATCTAAATAAATGAATAAGAACTGAAATAGTCTGGCAAGGATTGAATTTGGACTTTCACGAAGCAAAGAAAAAGCAAAGAAAAGTAAAATGATGGCATTATTGAGAAACAGATTCGGACACAATAATCATTTTATTTTAGTTGTTTTGTTTTAAGAACAAAGATGGAGACTTGTTTTTTATGTCTGCACGTCCGGGTCACACTACGATTGCTGTAACCCGTAGTTATTCTCTCCTCGTGACCTTTGACACTTGTCTGGACTACATGACATGTAACTGAGCCATCAGTGCTAAAACTAGCCCAGATGTGTCTCCTATTTAAATTTGAGACACTGTTTAAAACGTCAATAAAACGTAATGATTTGCATGATTTTATACTGTGTGAATGACCTAAGTTTACACAGAGAAGGGTTTCAGGTGTGGAGCCAGTTTAAAATATTTTATGGACTTTTATTCAGTTTGATCTAATAAGATGTTTTTAAATTTGTGAGTCTCATAAAAGCTTAATCTCGGAGTTTCTGACAAAAAGAGTGGGATGAAAACATTGTTTTCTTAAGAAGACGAAACCTGCAGTTCCTCTAATGTCCACTGGACACTCCTGAGTTCCTGCAGACTCATGTGTTGAAACTTTACAGCAGAAATAAAAATGTTTACTGCCTGAAATAAAACAATTTTGGTCTCTATCTTAACCGATATACAAGGAAGAATGTTTGTATAACTCACCTGCTTAAATTGCATGAAGGTTTAAAGTTTGCATTATTGGAGGCGTGGCCTATCTGTGACATGAAGGAGTTCAAAACCAATGGGTGAAGCAGAGGCGGAGGCAGACATTTGACACACCCGGGCTTCTGAAAAAACAACCCAGGCGTCATAGAGACCATGTCCATCTTTTATGTACAGTCAGTGTAAAAGAAGCCTGTCACGTACAAGAAAATGCAGGTAGAAGAGCAGAGTTTGAGGATCATTTAATAACACTGGTTATTGGTCATGTGTGCAACATACTAATGTGAAGCCAAGTTTCTATACTTTCTATATTGTTAGTTTTAACAGCTTAATTTATGGATTCCCAGTGTGTTGTCGGCACAAAACAAGGAAGTGCTGAAAAATCCTGAAATGTAGGCACTTTCCAGCACCTCTGTGTAATAACCAACTCAATTTTGTTATCACTTTAGCAGATACATGTCATCAAGCTGAGCCAGAACAACCGTGGGCTCTTAATTTGAAGGCAGACTGACTGAAGCTCGTTTGATTGGCTGAATGAAGACCTGCTGCTAACTTTGGATAGGAGGTAGGCAGGAGCCCAAGGGCTCCACCCCCAGGTATCGCGGCTGATTTAAATGCCAGGGGAGGAGGAAGGACATCATCATCATCTTCATCCTCATCATCACCATCACTTCATTTACCTGACATGAGAGTCTCATTTCCCTGGAGCTCAGCCTGCATCCTGCACTGAGGACTGAAGCCCTGAACGGTGAGTACGGCGCTTTAATTTTAATTTTAATACTCCCACAGTTTTGATGCCAACCTACAGCTGCTGCCTTGCTCAGTGAGTTACAGCCTGTGTGGATGCATCTAAACTTGCAGAAATGTGTAATGTTCAGTAGATGAATCTCCAACAGGTGGCTATTTTGTGTCAAGACAAAAGAAATGTTCTATTTTATGAGGTGTAATTAGGAACTAATGGCCTTCTGCATGACCCTGAATCTGTTATTCGTCATTAACAATAATTCCAGGCTGACCTGTTCTCAGTTTAAACTGTGAAAAGTGTCAGAAATGATGCAGGATGCTGATTTCACCTGCTCTGCATAGCCCGTGTGCCAGTAGCCACACATGGATGCTCCCCCCTGACATGTCACCATTTTGGTGTAAACGGTAAGCTTGGCTGGACACATGAGCTGCACCTTATAAGGTAGTATGCCTGCTAAGTCCCTAGCATCCCTCTTTGGGCTACCAAGCTACCAGGAGCAAAGGGTTAGCCAAACATGGGCATTCCAGCATGGCAGCTCACTTGTTTGATACTCGGGGTTATCTGTGTGCTGCTTTTCATATTTTATTGCCTGCTGTTCAATGGGAGGTCAAAGCAGCCTTGTGACCTGCACGCAGAGGCACAGACGAGGATAAGTGAGTAAGTAGCTGTATGCAAACTTTAGGGAAATATGGCATTTATTTATCAGATGTAATCTGTGAGACAGTTCACTGAAAGTGGATGTAAATGAGCTGTGAGATGCAAAGGCAGCAGTTGGAGGCACAGATGGAAGAAGCGTGAGGCAGAAAAATGAGCTAATGAGTCAGTTTTATTGATGCTGGCGCGTCTTCATCACTTCTTAGCCTTTATGTGCCCCTGAAAGGTTTCAGAAGTCTGTGAGAAAGATGCTTTTATTTCTCCTCCTCTGCTTGATGCTGTGTGAGACTGTGCTACAAAATAGTTTGGTCTTTAAATCAAGTTGCGCTGAAGGCGTAGGCGTAGTTTTTTCCTTCAGAAAACTGAACAAGTCATCCATTTGTCCTGTTCAGTAAAGGCATGAAAAAAACAAAAACACATCAACAGTAGTCCGTATGGGAAAAAATGCCTCCAACAAGGTCTTTTTCTTTAAAAATTGGTCTTTTTTACTCCCAAAATATAAAATATGAATCTTGTGTGGGAAACATAATTATCTGCAGCGCACACACTGCTGTGAGTCCTGGTGCTGGCAGGTGGAAAACTATGGAGAAACCAGGAGATGGATTCTTTTTTTAAAGTTGTGAGCTGCTGTTTTTGAATTTGGGAGTTTGAAACTCATTTTTCTTTTATAGAGCACCAGTTCTTTATGCTATGACTCTGGGCTGTTAGTGGGATGCACTGGGCTCAACAAAACCACCATATTAGCCTCTATATGCAAAATAATTCACTCTAATTACAGTATATGACAGCTACTCATCATCTGATGTAATAAAACCAAGAGCATCCTGATATAAAAACAAAAATAATGAGCTCAGGGGGTGTGTAGGAAGTTTCAGGGAAACAAAATAAATGTTGTAATTTACATGTACTAAACTGTCCAACCTTCTGGGATGAAACTGGATGCCGATAAAAGCTTTCCTTTAGAGTGTCGTAACACTGACTTTGGGCTCGATTGAAGACAATCTCAGTTATGGGTGAATGGATACACAGAACTCTACTGAAACTGTTTTCAGCATCAGCTTTTCCTTTTTTTCTGTAATGCATTAGATAGCTTGTTGGCATGCAGGTGAGCACAGGTATGATCCTGTAAGCAAAGTGCAGGATGGAAGAAAATTTGCAAAAGGCCAATGATATGAAGCATGTGCTGTAAGGTAAGTACCATGTAATATTACAGAGGAAACTCCAGCAATTAGATCAACCCCTTATGAGCAGCACTTGGCAACTGCGGGAAAGAAGAACTCCTTTTTAACAGGAAGACACTTCCAGCACCAGACTCAGGGAGGGGTCTGAGAAGAGGAACAGAGAGACACAGAAACAATCATGGGAGCAAAGACATAAGCTAATAGATATAAAAATGTGAACACGTGGGGAGTGAAAAGAGGTCCTCAGTGCATCATGGGAAATCATCCTGCAGCCTGAACCTGTAGCAGCATAAAAATAGATAAATGGCAGGTTTATGAGTACAATAAGGCAAAATTAAAACTGCAGTGAATATAAAAAAGCAGAGAAAGAAAAAGTGTCTTTTTTAATTCACATTTTTGATTTGTCAGCAGGTCAGAGGTCAAATCAACTCACATATCAGAGGCTGAGCCGGTCCCAATCGACGATTCAAACGTCAGCCTCACTGCCTCCGAACCACCAGCGTTAGACTCCGATCCCGCCGCTGCTGACCCGCAGGTCGATCCGACCGCCAACATGGCCGACACCGACGACAAGTACCTCTTCCTGGAAAACGACTTCCGCAACAGCGGCGTGGCCCAGGCCGACTGGGCAGCTAAAAAGATGGTGTGGGTGCCGTCAGAGAGGGAGGGCTTCGAGCCGGCGAGCATCAAGGAGGAGAAGGGTGACCAGGTATGCATGGAAACAAGAATGATTGACAGGAGCCATCAGAAAACACAAATATGATGTTGATTACGTCAGAAACAGCGTGAAAAGAAGGAGCTGAAGCAGAGTGGGGTTGCAAAGCAGCTTGCAGACAAACATTTACACCAACTGTTTGTCTTTGTTACTTTATGAAGAGAGTAACAGTGATTCTGGTCTTTTAACAGAGTTTTACCCTTAAACTCTTTAATTAAATTTAACCTGGCACTTCAGTACGGGACCGCTTTCTGCAAACTGAGTAAACACAAGAACAAATGGAAAAGCTTCCATATTTTCCAGAATACTCTATGGGAATTGTTTTGTTATGGACGAACATGAGACACAGCGGTTACAGACATTTCTTCCTCGCGTGTAAAACTTCAGAAATTACTTTTTAAAGATTAAAAAGTAAACTTGAGATAAATTAAATGTAGAATTTCCACATTTTTAATTTTCTTGTGAGATTTTCTTCTCTTCGTTGTCTTTTTTA